TATCCCAGCCAGTCACAATCACTTGCCTAATTCATCAGATTTCCACCACTCTGGGCCATATGCTGTATCCAGCTCATCATCTCCTCCCTGTGCTCCCTGAGCTATGACTCTCAATAAGGTCCCCTGCCAGGTATGGCTGGGTTCTCTCTTTTTCCCAAGTTCTTCTAGGAGAGCTCAGCTGAAATGATCCTTGCAGTCTGTCATCTTGCTCTCTCCCCACCCAGCCCCGGAATGTAATTCTTATCTTTGTTACTCTATAGGAGAAGGTGTTTTTCTCTGGCTTTTTTCCAAATTTTTTCTGTACATTTTATTTGATGTAGTTTGAAAATAATATACATAGGTATAGTTTTCTGGCTTTATCTTGGTTGGTATTGTCTGAGCTTTGTGGATCTATAGTTTGGTATATAACATTAATTTTGAAGAAATTCTCAGTTATTATTGAGTATTGCTTCTCTTTCATTCTCTCTTTCTTCTCCTTCTGGTATTCCCATTATACATATGTTATACCTTTTATAGCTGTCCCACAGTCTGGATATTCTGTTCTATTTTTTTCAGTCTTTGTTCTCTTTGCTTTTCAGTTTAGGAAGTTTCTAATGATACACTCTCAAGGTCTGAGAGTGTTCTCAGCTGTGTCCAGTCTACTAATAAATCCATAAAGGGCATTCTCCTTTCTATTATAGTGTTTTTGATGTCTAGCATTTCTTCCTGGCTGTTTCTTAGAATTTCATCTCTCTGCTTACATTGTCAATCTGCTCTTGCATGCTGTCTGCTTTATCTGCTAGAGGCCCTTATGATATTAATCACAGGTGTCTTAAATTCCCAGACTGATAATTCCAACATCCCTGCCATGTCTGATTCTTATACTTGCTATGTCTCTTCAAAAAAAATTTTTTTTTGATACAGTATCTCACTTTGTCACTGCCCTGCCTAGAGTACTATGGTGTTATATCTCATAGCAACCTCCAACTCTTGGGCTTGAGCAATCCTCTTGTGTCAACCTCACAAATAGTCAGGAATACAGATGTGCACCACTATGCCTGGCTAGTTTTTCTGTTTTTAATAGAAATGGAGTCTCACTCTTGCTCAGGTTCATCTACCAGCCTTGGACTCCCAGAGTGCTAGGATTATATGTGTGAGCTACCATGCCCGGATTTCAAATTGTTTTTTACTCTTCAGTATGCTTTCTAATTTTTTCTTGATGGCCAGACCAGGTAAAGGGAACTGCTGTAAAAGGCCTTTAGTAATGTGGTAGTGAATTGTGAGGGGAGGGGAGGCTCTAGTTAAATAATTTCTCTTAGGACAGGCCTTGTTAAGAACAAAGTACTCTGGCATATTTCAAACTGGTTTTTTTCCCCTCCTCCTGTCAGAAGCATGAAGAATTTTTTCTCCACCATTCACTGTGAGAACCTAGCCAAGCTCCTGGAGGTAAAACTCACAAAACTGTAGGGGCCCCTCTATGCTAGGTCCCCTGGGAGTTTTCAACGCTGTGACTTGTTCACACTGATGCTAGCAATTTGTCAATTATGTTTTAGATTTTCTCCCTCTGGCACTGGTTACCATGGTAGTTTCCACTCTTGACTCTCTGTTCCAGTAAGCCACAACTCTTTCTGTTTTTCTGTCTCTTTGATCTTTAAGGAAATGGTGATTTGCCTTTTTTCCTCACCTACCTTATGGATCCATGAAGAGTTGCTGGTTTTTGAATCCCTTCAGCTTTTTACTTATTGTTAGTACAGAGTGGTGACTTCTAAGTTCCTACATGCAGAACTAGAAACCAGAAGTCTTCCAGAAAGTCAAGAGGTCTGGATAGTAATCTTGACAGTTATCACTTTCTATACTATGTTGGACAAATCCTCTCCTGCCCTCAGGTCTCTTTCCTTATCTGTAAAATGAGGGGTTTGTGCTAGATAAGTGGTTTTTAAGACTGTATTCCTCAGAACTCTGAAAATCTCATGGTAAAGCCTCAGAGACTTCCAAGAAGGTGAAATTTCTTTACTTTTTAAAATTTTTTAGAGACAGTCTCACTTTGTCACCCTTGGTAGAGTGCTGTGGTGTCACAACTCACAGCAACCTCCAGCTCTTGGGCTTTGGCTATTTTCTTGCCTCAGCCTCCTGAGTAGCTGGGGCTACAGGAACCTGCCACAATGCCTGGCTATTTTTCTTTTGCAGTTTGTCCAGGGCTAGGTTCGAACCTGCCACCCTCGGTATATGGGGCTGGTGCCCTACTCATTGAGCCATAGACAATGCCCAAGAAGGTGAAATTTCAGGCGTCCATCAACTTGTGGTTCAACTAGAGCACCTTCACTTTTATGTTTTCTTGCATGTTAGACATTTATGCAATTTCATTTGAAACAAGGGTTCTAAATTGTCCCTATTTTTAAAAAGTGTATAAGTCACAGAAATCACTACATGCTTTCAAATTCTATGACCCTATAATATAAGGGTTTATGGGTTATTGAAATGCTTTCCTGAGAGTAGGTATAAAATGCAGAAGAGAGGAAAAATATGAGGCCACTGAGGATGAGTAACTTTATCCTATAGTGAAACAAAAGACTGTTGAAATGATAAATTGGAGTCTTGAACAACAAATTTAACAATTTTGCATATTCTTAGTTGAGTTCTCAGTTACAGTGTCTCTTTTCAGTTTTTTCTTTTCCATAGTAAATCTTGTAACAGTTGGAAAACACTCTTTTTCTTTCTTTCTTTTCTTTTTTTTTTGCCATTTTTTGCCAGGGCTGGGTTTGAACCTGCCACCTCCGGCATATGGGGCCGGCACCCTACTCCTTTGAGCCACAGGTACTGTCCCCCCCTTTTTTTCAGAAAGAAAGAAATGGAAAGACTTCTGACTTGCTTGACTATAGGTAAGTATCTCCTTGGTTATTGTCAGTCCTTCATCTTGCTTCTATCCTCCATTGAATTCTATATGTACACTAAGCACACTGACTCCAACCTTATGTTTGAGCTAAGCTTCATGCTCCTTATTAATGTTTGCCATGGGAGTTTACTTTGGTTTCTTTGTCCACAAGCCAATAAGTTTGTCATCACTAGCATTAATCTCCAAATGTGATTTCAGCTCTTCTTATTCTAGTTTATTTTAAGGACATTTCCTTTCTCTCTTACCTCTCTTCCTTTGTTCCTTCTATCCATTCATCCTATCTTCCTTTCCTTCTAATTGCCACTTAATCTTAATCTAGGAATTTAATAAGTAAAAAGGATCAATACAAATAAAAATGCTCTAAATCATTCTGGGCTTTCATGGCCTCTTTCTCAAATTCAGATTTTTTTTTTTGTTATTTTGTTATTTTGTATCTTTGTTATTTTGAAGCTGTTCAGTTGTCTGGTTAAATTTGTCATCTTTCCTATCTGCTAATGATTCTTCCCTGTCTACTTCATTCAAGTTGATCTCCTATCTATGTCTTTTTACAACTCTGTGCTTTCTTACATGATGCCCCTTTTGCCTCACAGGTCTTCCTATTTTTACTGCCCATGTACCTTTTATGTCCAAAACACACCCCAAATCCCCTGTATTCAAAAATCTTGTAGTAGTTCAATTTTATATTTCAAATACTTGTCAACAAAGTGTTAAACATAGCAAAGTAGGTTAGAAGCCAAACATTTTCAAAAGATAAAAACTTTGCTACTGGGCAGTGCGTATGGCTCAAAGGAGTAGGGCACCGGCTGCATATACTGGAGGTAGCTGGTTCAAACACGGCCTCAGCCAAAACTTCAAAAAAAAAAAAAAACTTTGCTACTTGGCATTCTTATTTCTCAGAAAGGCATGGAGTATGTAATAAATTCTTTCTGATAATGATGGCACTTCCTGGTTCAGTACTGAGTTTGCTGTGTGAGCTCAGTAAATATTATGCCAGCATATTGATACTCTTCCAATTTTTAATCTCCAGTTCAGTCTTTTTTTTTTTTTTTTTTTTTTTGAGACAGAGCCTCAAGCTGTCCCCCTGGGTAGAGTGCCGTGGCATTACAGCTCACAGCAACCTCCAACTCCTGGGCTCAAGCGAGTCTCCTGCCTCCGCCTCCCAGGTAGCTGGGACCACAGGCGCCCGCCACAACGCCTGGCTATTTTTTTTGGTTGCAGCCGTCATTGTTGTTTTGGCGGGTCCGGGCTGGGGATTCGAACCCACCACCTTAGGTGTACGTGGCTGGCGCCTTAGCTGGTTGAGCTATAGGCACCGAGCCCAGTTCAGTCTTTTTAATGATTGTTTCTATTCTTTTTTTTTGCTTGTTTCTATTCTTTATTTTCTTACATGTAAATCATATCTTTCTACCTCAGGTGGTGAATGATTGCACTAATTAAAATTATAAATCCTTCCAAAGATATGTTTGTTCCCCAAAGTTTAAGTTAACAGCTTCTTGGCTTTTGGTAATGCTTTTTGTCATTTTAATTACTTTTAGTATACACCCATGCACACATACACAAATAAGAATTTTCCAAATTCAAACTCATATGTGACTGTTTTTAAAGCAAGATTAACCACTTTGCTAGAATATTAAGGTAAAAACCTCAGTATCAAATTTTACCATTTGATGCAGCACTCAAGAACCTTGCTCAGGCTTTTGATGGAGAAGTCTCAACTTTGGATTCCAGGATTAATGAAGCTCATGGTTTCAAAAAACAGGTAAAAGAAAGTTCTGTGGCTATGGGAAACATTGTGGAATCAGACAAATATGGGTTCAAATTCTGGCTCTTTCATTTGTACCTATGCGTACAGAGATAATTTGCTTAATCTAAGTTTCATTATATATAAAATGTAAATAATTATGTATACTTAATATAATTATTAAAGTTTTTAAATGAGTACTGACATAGTGTAGGTACTCAATATTAATTTTCTTCTTTTTCTATATAAATGGCTGTAAGATGAAAATGATGAATTTTAACTGCAGATCCCCAACATTATGCTCCTAAACTTGGTCTAGAATGCCTAATTTATCTCTAAATGTGATTCAACAAAAATTAATTATGCACCAATACAGTTGAATATCACAAGCATAAAGTTGAGCAAAAGAAGCCAGACATTGAAGAGTATCTACTAATCATTCAACTTATATGTAGTAAAAACAAACAAACAAACCAAAACTATATATGAAGTTAGAAGTCAGGATGGTGGTTACCCTTGAAGCAGGGTTGAACTTTAAAGTAGAAGGAGCTTCTGGGATTCTAAAAATGATCCAGATCTTTCTTGATCTGGGTGCTGGATACATGGATATGTTCATCTTGTGAAAATTTATCAAACTGTACAATTATGAGTTATGTTATGTACTTATGTAGGTTTTATTTCAATAAAATGATTTAAAAATTGTGGAGGCAGTTACCACAGTGATAAGTAAGCAAGAGCAATTAAGTGTCGATGTCATAAAGTGGACTGGTTCCACATGAACCTCTTTCTGCTTCATTGGTTTAATGAGGCATTAATCTAGAAGAAAGGGAATAAATAAAGCAATCTGGCTTCTAAGAAATTTATGAAAAATAACTAAGAAACTTCTAATGGCTCGGCACCTGTGCCTCAAGTGGCTAAGGCACCAACCACATACACCTAAGGTGGCAGGTTCGAATCCAGCCCAGGCCCACCAAACAACAATGACAGCTGCAACCAAAAAATAGCCGGGCATTGTGGCGGGCACCTGTGGTCCCAGCTACATGGGAGGCTGAGGCAGGAGACTCACTTGAGCCCAGGAGTTGGAGGTTGCTGTGAGCTGTGATGCCACGGCACTCTACCCAGGGGGACAGCTTGAGGTTCTGTCTCAAAAAACAAACAAACAAACAAACAAACAAACAAACTTCTAAGAAACTAATGGAAACTAATAGAAAATAACAAACATTTAAAATACAGGGTGTCCATAAAGTTCATGTGCAATTTTAAATTGCACACTTTTTTTATTATTTGGGATTCATTGAGGGAACGAAGAATTAGGTTACACTGATTACATTAAAAAGTCCTTATTATAATTGTGTCCACCCCTAAGAAGTGCACCATACATTGTGACTCCCCAACCCCCACCGTCCTCCCTTGCACACTATTTTTAATTGCACATGAACTTATGGCCACCCTGTATAGAAAGGTTTGCCAGGTGCAGTGGCTCATGCCTGTAATCCTAGCACTCTCTTGGGAGACCAAGCCAAGAGCTTGAGCTCAGAAGTTGAAGACCAGCTGAGCAATAGCAAAACCCCATCTCTACTAAAAATAGAAAAAAAAAATAGCTAGATGTTGTGGTGCATGCCTAAGAAGTACCAGCCATTACAGAGATTGAGGCAGGAGGATCACTTGCACCCAGGAGTTTAAGGTTGCTGTGAGCTAGTGTGTGCTAGGCTGACATCACAGCATTCTAGCCAGGGCAACAAAGTGAGACTCTGTCTCCCAGGGGGGAAAAAAAAGCAACGGTTTGATGACTTTGATCTTTCCAGAGTTTGAAAGGATATTTTTCCAGTCACCCTCCCACCACCCAGCCGTCCTTCTCTCCTCCCCTTCCCCACCCCCTCCCCATATTCTTGGCTTAGAATTAAGTTGTAGCTTTCATTTGCAAAGTCTATGTTAACCAGCTTGATGAAAGTATTTCAAATTATATATGAAAACACTACACTGTACTCCCATGTTTGCATTAATGTATACAGCTATCATTTAATTAAAAAAATTAATTTAAAAAAAGGATATTTTTCTATTTTTGCTGTATTTTAATTTTGCTTTTCCAAGGTGAAGGTCATGCTTAATATCGCCTAATGGGGGCTTCCACTATTCTTTGGAAATGTTAATCTTTCCAGTAATTTTCCTCAACCCTTGATTCTAATGTATCTTGTTCTCGGCTCAATTTTAACTTCCTTCACTACTACCAGTTGGTGAGTTCCTTGGTAATCCTCATTTTTAAAAAGAATTTGTGGCAGTTTTCAGAGATTCTTTTTGCCGAGCTAGGAGATCTGTGGTTAGGTTCTCAGAGTTTCCCAGCAGCATGGCCCCCAAACGCCAGTCTCCGCTCCCACCTCAGAAGAAGAAACCAAGACTGCTTACTTCTCCCAAACCGGAGGACACCTCGGGCTCTCAGGAATTGCTGAAAAAGAAAGAAAAAGAACAGCAGGAAGCAATTGAACATATTGATGAAGTACAAAATGAAATAGACAGACTTAATGAACAAGCCAGTAAGGAGATTTTGAAAGTAGAACAGAAATATAACAAACTCCACCAACCATTTTTTCAGAAGAGGTCAGAATTGATCGCCAAAATCCCAAATTTGGGGGTAACAACATTTGTCAACCATCCACAAGTGTCTGTGCTGCTTGGGGAGGAGGATGAAGAGGCACTGCATTATTTGACCAGAGTTGAAGTGACAGAATTTGAAGATATTAAATCAAGTTACAGAATAGATTTTTATTTTGATGAAAACCCTTACTTTGAAAATAAAGTTCTCTCCAAAGAATTTCATCTGAACGAGAGAGGTGATCCATCTTCAAAGTCCACTGAAATCAAATAGAAATCTGGCAAGGATTTGACGAAACGTTCCAGTCAAATACAGAACAAAGCTGGCATCAAGATATTGATGAAGAAGGGGATGAGGATGAAGGTGAAGAAGATGAAGATGATGATGAAGGGGAAGAAGGAGAGGAGGATAAAGGAGAAGATGACTAACAGAACACTGATGGATTCCAACCTTTTTCAAAATTTTCTCCAGTCCCTGGGAGCAAGTTGCAGTCTTTTTTTTTTTTCCTCTTGTGCTCAGTTGCTCTGTTCTTGAGGTCTCTTTTCTCTACACCATGATTCTCAACTTATTTTGGAGGGAAATACCTTGAGCAGAATACAATGGAGAAAGAATCTCTACTCGTTTCTGTTCCAAATTCATTTTTATCCCTTCCTGTCTCAACAAAAACTGTATGGAATCAACACCACCAAGCTCTGTGGGAAAAAAAGACAAACCTGCTCCCTTCGCTCTGCTGGAAGCTGGAGGGTGCTAGGCCCCTGTGTAGTAGTGCATAGAATTCTAGCTTTTTTCCCTCCTTTTTCTGTATATTGAGCTCAGAGAGTACACTGTGTCTCTACGTGAATATGGACAGTTAGCATTTACCAACATGTATCTGTCTATTTTCTCTTGTTTAAAAAAAGAAAAAAAACTTTAAAAAATGGGGTATAGAAGGTCAGCAGAGGGTGGGTTTGAGATGTTTGGGTGGGTTAAGTGGGCATTTTGACAACACGGCTTCTCCTTTAGCATGTTTTATTGTGATGTTTAACGGACATCCTTGCAGTTTAAGATGACATTTTTAAAATAAATTCTCTCCTAATGATGACTTGAGCCCTGCCACTCAAATGGGAGAATCAGCAGAACCTATAGGATCTTATTTGGAATTGACATTCTCTATTGTAATTTTGTTCTGTTTATTTTTAAATTTTCTTTTTTTATTTTATTTTTTTTTATTAAATGGTAGCTGTATACATTAATGCAAACATGGGGTACAGTGTAATGTTTTCATATACATTTTGAAATACTTTCATCAAGCTGGTTCACATAAATTTCATGTCATTTGCTTAGTCATTGTATTTTTTTTTCCACTTTCCCAAACTTTATTAAAGAAAAAAGCAGTGGTGGTAAATCTCTAAAACATCGTCAATTTTCTGGGATTCCTACCTTGAAAAATGTGATATTTGATTTCCAAACACATGCCAGAAGTGTATGTGGATCCCAACTGCACCAAGCAGGTGAGGAGCTGAAGTCTTTAGTGTTCATCTTCCGACCTTCCCCAGTCTGTGGTCTGTCTTTGGGTCAGCAATAATCGCCTGAACAGCTACTATGGCTTCATTAATTTTTGTCTGTAGCTCTCTGAGCTCTTCTATATGCAGCAGTCGTAGGATCTGAGCAGCTTCGTTAAGAACTGCATCTCCTGTGTCAAAACCAAGAATATGTTTGTCTAAAGCAACAGGCAAGCCCTCTTTTGTTTGATTTGCTTTAGCAACTGCATCCTGTGTCAGACGCTCCTGAACCAAAATGCGAATTGCCTTAAGCATCACCAGGTAGTCATCATGGCGCTGAATCTGAAGGAGGGTGGCCAGAGCCATCACACCAGCTTTGAAGTCGGGGTTATTTACATCCAAATTGATCAATGGCTCTGCATTCTTAGTTGTGCTGTCAGCATTTTTTGCATTATCAGGTACTAAGTCCTGGTATTTTTCAGCATTATCTCCATATTCAAGTCTAACAGCTAAACCAAGAAGCCAGTCAATTGCTTCTTGTGGATCTTGAATCCTGAAAGGACAGTTAACATCGCTGAGATACTTTTCAAAGAACTTGGGTCAGTCACTGCTGTGGATGTTTCTTAAATTACCTCTGTCTTCAATCTTGTAGTGTCTGATTTTCTGATCTTCAAGCCAAACAATAAAGTTTCTAAATTCTGTTTCATCTTTGCAGTTGAAGCCAGCCGGGTTGTGGTAGTCAAGAGCCGTCAGCTTGCGTCGGAACATGGTCCCCGCTTCTCGCTCTGGTCCCCGGGCCTCCTAGTCATTGTATTTTTAAATTTTCTTTTTGTATCACTGGAAAGGAAAGATGATGCTCAGTTTTAAATGTTAAAAGTGTACAAGTTGCTTTGTTACAATAAAACTAAATGTGTACACACACACACAAAGAATTTGTGCCAACTAAGAATTCTTATCACATGTCCCCAATTTATTAAAAAAAAAAAATCAACAGCATCTCCATTGGTCATTGGTCTAGAATTAAAGAATAGAAGTGATAGGAGTCTCAGCCAGGCTGGTGGCTTTCACCTGTAATCCTAGAATTCTGAGAGGCCAAAGAGGGTGGATTGCTTGAGTTCATGAGTTTGAGACCAGCCTGAGCAAAGTGAGAACCCCATTACTATGAAAAATAGAAAAACTAGCTGGGCATTGTGGCAGGTGCCTGTAGTCCCAGCTACTGGGGAGGCTGAGGCAAGAGTATCACTTAAGCACAGTAGTTCAAGGTTGCTGTGAGCTGTGACACCACAGCAATCTATCCAAGGTGACTCTGTGAGACTCTTCCCCCCCCAAAAAAGTCTAAATTTACCTGGAAAAATGTTCTTTACAAACCTAAAATTAAGTTTTTAGCTCCTGATAATCCCTTTATTAGTATATTAATATAAAGTTGTAGGTAGTAGAGATTATAATGGTAAAGACTAAATAGCACATTTTCATAATTATATTATTTCATGTTAACTTGAGCTTGGAACTTGGCTGTGCAATCTGATAATGACTCAGTGACAGTGAGAGAGTTTTTCACACTTTCTTATGAAGTAAGTCTCTTGTAATAATTATGTCATGTATGTACCACAAGAATATGACCACTATGGCTATAGTAAAGGGCTAAGTATAGACTGGGATTGACTCTTAATCTAGGAACTTTAAATATATGACTAAACAGGAACAGCCTGTCTTAAGGAGAATTTGTTTCCTAATGGGTGTAATAAACAACCATCATGGAGCCTGAAGTTCTACCATTAGAGACTTATTCCTTTTTCTTTGAAGGAATTTCAGTTTCCCAGCATCCTGTATTAAAATGTAAGCATCTTTGGGACTAGAATACTCTAAGCATTTGTCAATTGCCAATACACTAGCAAGGGTTTTGAAAATAAGTCTGTAGTCTGAATATAGAACAAGTATCTAGGGAGATAACAGGGATTAAAAAAAGGAGTTGAGAAGCTTGTGCCTCCTTTAAAACTTTTCCTAGAGCAAGTTTTGTATGTAATAATTTGTTAGCTATTCAATTATAAGCATTTTTAAATAGTCATTAACCTCCAAGGTAGAGGTTAAACTCTAGAAAGAGGACCAAGTATTGATGGGTTAAAGAATATCTCTCATACACATTCAGAAGTACATAGTATTCTATGTTGAGATCAATTAAATATTCTAGAGGTAGAAATAAATGGAGAGATAATCTCGCACAACTTCCTCATCTCACAAAGGAGTAACCTGAGACCTAAAGAGATTGGTTGTCTTGAAATGCTGTTAATTCAATGGTGGTCATGGTTAAGATCACTACATGTTTGAGATAAATAGTCTCTGCAAGTTTAAGTATAATTACCACTTTAATTAGATGAAATAATTTGGTTTTAGTTTTGACATTTGTAATAACACTTTTTGAACTGGCATGTAAGAATCCAAGTGGCCTAGCATTTTACCATGTAGTAGCTGTGAGTTTTTGCTAAAACTACAGAACAAGGTTAATGGTGAGGTTATGCATAATGTCAGTCAAGATTTGTCTCTTTGTCTGAAAGATTTGCCTCTTTCAGACAAATCTTGAAAAAAATGTCTCTTTCATCCATGACAATATATGTACTAATTTTGGCTCTATTCAATACATAGAGGGAATCTACTTGCCAAGAAGAAAATCACTTAGAAATTACAGCATAAAGCAAGAAGTGAATCACTAGATAGAAATACAGGAGCAAATGATACTACTTGTCAGTAGGAAAGAGGAAAACTGTGAAGAAATGAGGTCTTTTTATCTCTAGAGCGATACTAAAAACAATGGAAAGCAATATAAAATTAAAAGTGTAAATCAGTATTACAGTCTATATCACTTCAGTGGCAACATGTGCTTTTCCAGCTGAATTTTCTCCTTCAAAAAGAATGTTACTAATTTTCATTTTGATTATTTGTGTTCACCTGGCAGAATTCTCTCTATTCATTGATGTTCTGGTTGTTTCTTGTCAGCTGTCCCAGTTTTGTCCTTCTGATCAAGTAATTCTGATTACACAGAAAACCTGTTTACTTGTTGCACCTTCAGTTGATCTAGAGCAAGGGAGAAAAGCTTCAACTTTTGAACAGGTAATGTGCAACCTTCACAGAAAAGGCAAGAGTTCAGTGTGCTGTTTGATGTTTGCCTTCCCTGACACAGTTCTTTTTGATTCTCTTTAGAGAATACTTTATTCCATTCTAACAGCATCTTGATTTCAAAGATTTTTAATAGCTAATTACTTCCGAGGAAAAATTACATTTGGCTTGACCTCTTCTTTTAAGAAGATTGAATATCTCTTCTTTTAAAATGTCCCTTCCCATAGACCACTCTTTCCCAATGTTTTAAATACTCTTTATCTTCATGGTTTTCCAGTGATTTTATATGGTCCATAGGAGTGTTCCCTGCATTTCTGTTTCTTTTCACACCCCTTCTGAGGAAGAACTCATCTATTTCCAGAGCTTCCATAGCCTTCGACATTATTTACTTATTTTTTTCTGACTCCACTGCGTTTGCTTTCTTTGTCCCACATCCTTTAGTATCTCATCATTAACTCAATTTCACCAAGAAAGAATTCCTTACCTTTGCCTGAATTTCCCTGTCATATTTTTAAAGATTACCCCTTTTAGGAGATACCAACATCACAATCTCCCACACACCAGATCGTTGGTTTGTGTTTAGCTCTTTACTTTCATTTTTTCAAACTAAGAAAATTATCTCCAAGTCAGACCAATAGCATTTTTGTGTGATTTTTAAAATCTAGATCCTCTCTCCACTTGGTTTCTCTTATGAGAACGCCCTAGTTTCTCATATTTGTCAGCTTCTCGTCTCTCAAATTGGTGCAAAATCCTTCTCACTATGTATTCTTCTCCGGTTTATGTCTTTTATATTATTCTTTAGATCTGGAACAAACTCTCACCAGATCTCTGCCAATGCATTTCCCTTCCTTTCATATCCCCTGTTTAAGTTCAGCTGAAAAAAACATTTTAGCACCCAAAAACTGTGCTGGGTACTGGGGATACAGAGATAAAGAAGATAAAATCTGGCTCGGCACCTGTGGCTCAAGTGGCTAAGGCGCCAGCCACATATACCTAAGGTGGCAGGTTCGAATCCAGCCCAGCCCGCCAAACAACAATGATGGCTGCAACCAAAAAATAGCCAGGCGTTGTGGCAGGCACCTGTGGTCCCAGCTACTTGGGAGGCTGAGGCAGTACTCTCGCTTGAGCCCAGGAGTTGGAGGTTGCTGTGAGCTGTGATGCCACAGCACTCTACCCAGGGGGAAAGCTTGAGGCTCTGTCTAAAAAAAATAGAAGATAAAATCCTTATTTATGAGAAGTAAAGTGCCCCTTCTTAAGACATCTCTTCATTTTAAAAGAAGATGAGAAAATAATCAACAAACAAGAAAACAATTCTTCTTCTTAACAAGTAACAGTAAGTGTAATTTAATTCTCAATAGGAACTTTTGCTTTACTATAAAATAGGAATCTTTTTTTAATATAGTGCTTTTAACTTTCTAAAAGTTCTTCCTTTTCAGTTGGTAGTCTCAAGTTTGTTAAATTTTTATCTCAATAAATAGAGATCAAATTAATGTGAGGGATATTTGGCAAACTCTTAAGGATAATCCTTAATTACTTTGTTTCTAACAAATGTTCTTTTTTATTATATGTTTTTTCTCTTATATACATTTTTGCTTCTTAAGAACTCTCTTAATAACCCTTCTATAATCTTCCTTGCTTTTGAAAGAATATCTATTTAGATAGTTGAATTTATACTTCTGCCTTTTCATCATCTCAGTGTGGTCCCTATGGATTAGACCATGGTCTCTCTAAAGAATACTTTTCAAATTCTCTTATATACATCTGCTCTCTGTTCTCTAAACCCTCATGAACTGGGATATTTCCAAGTAAATAGGTGATGAAGGGATATAGATACCCTGCATAATCCTGTCAACATCATCTCTACCCTTCTGTGAGTCAGGAGGAAGTAAGGCATACTTTTAAAAGCATATAGTAATTGTAATTTTTCAAGGAACCATATATTTGTCCTAGAACAGGGCTGCGTAAACTACTGCCAACTGACCAGATCAGGCCTGTGGCCTGTTTTTGTATAGCCTGAAAGCTAAAAATGGTGTTTACATTTTTTACATTTATAAAGAGCTGTAATTGAAGATGAAAAATGTGTGCAAAAGAGTACATGCAACTGGCAAAACCTAAAATTTTTACTGTCTAGCCTTTTTATAGTAAAAGAGTCCTGATCCCTGTCCTAGATTATTATTTATTATTATTATTTTTTTTGAGACAGGAGCCTCAAGCTATCCCCCTGGGTAGAGTGCTGTGGCATCTCAGCTCACAGCAACCTCTAACTCCTGGGCTCAAGCAAGTCTCCTGCCTCCGCC